TTCTTTTTGATATACTTTAAAACAAAGAAATGTTATAGCTTTGTCTAGAATGACTTTCTCTTTGATTTATAAATTTCATGTTTGACATTGATTAATCTATTTGATTAGATCACTGAGTTAGAAACATGATCGTCTACATCATGAAAAAAAAAACAACTAATTTTTATTTTATTTTGGTTTTTGTTAGGTTCACAATTTGATATTCATACCGGTGGAATTGACTTAAAATTTCCTCATCATGATAACGAAATAGCTCAAGCTGAAGCTTATTATGACAGCGATACATGGGTGAATTATTTTCTACATAGTGGTCATTTAACAATAGCCGGTTGTAAAATGTCCAAATCATTGAAAAATTTCGTTACAATTCAACAAGCACTTGAAAAATATACGTCAAGACAAATTCGATTGTTATTTTTACTACATTCATGGGCGTCTACATTGGATTATAGTGATCATGGTATGGAAAAAACTTTGAATTATGAAAAAATGCTCAATGAATTTTTTCTTAATATTAAAACACATTTACGTTCAATGAAACAATTAAATCATTCAAATGCTTATACAAAATTTGATGAAAATGATCTACAATTAAATGAACGTTTTTCAACAGCTAAAAAACAAATTCATATTGCATTATGTGATTCTATCGATACACCAACAGTTATGGAAAATATTCGTCAATTAATAACAACAACAAATATTTATATGAACAGAACAAATGCAATTATTAATCGTCTTCTTTTACGTAATATTGCTGTTTATATAACACGTTTAATTGATATTTTTGGTTTAAATTCTTCTGGATCATCATCATCATCAACGGATAATATTGGATTTACACGATCAAGTGAACAACAACAAGCATCATCAATTAATGTAGAAGATATAGCTATGCCATATGTTGAACAATTTGCTCTATTTCGTGATGCTGTACGTACACAAGCAATTACAGTTAAAAATAAAGAAATTCTTACATTATGTGATCATGTACGAAATGAAATTTTACCAGAATTAGGTGTACGACTTGAAGATCACGGTACAAAATTGAATATTTGTTTTTATAATTAGTTCTTTCTTTTTTATCTTATAGCGGGTACAAATAAAGCAACAATAAAATTTTGTGATCCAGAAATATTAAGACGTGAACGTGAACAAGCATTATTAGTTGAAAAAAGTAAACAAGAAGAAAAAGAACGACGAAAATTAGAACAACAATTAGCTAAAGAAGCAAAAGAAGCTAAGAAAAAAGCACCTAAAGAAAAAAAAGTAAGATATAAAATGTTTAATAATTTTTATCATATATAATATTTATTCTATTTTAGAATACTGATTCAAAAAATTCAACGCAACCAACTAATGATGAAATTGTTACTGATGGAGCAACAGCCATGGCTAATGGTGATGCTTCAAGTTCTCATTGATGCTTTTCTTTTTGTACTTTTATTTAATTTTAATCATCTTCATCTTCATCTTTTGTTGTTGTTATTGTTACATTGAGGGTTATTTTATTCTTATTTATTTATTATTCTCTATTTTTGTTATTCTGACAATGATCGAGGGGAATGAGGAAAAGAAGATGTGTTTTGTTTAAGCATTTGTTATTGTTCCGTAATAACACTAAACATCAAACATTTAAATATATAAGATATTATAATCCATTTTTTTTCTTTTATTCTCTTATGATTGATAAATACAATTAAAGAACAAAATTTGAATGATCATAGAATTGTTAAGGAATATTTTTGATTATGAATTATGGTAACAGATGGCATAAGAAATAACAATTATACTTTTACAAAAACAGTACACAAAATAGTGTAAATAATAGAAACTGAAAGAATGTGAGTGTAGGTACATGAAAAGAAGGCTTACACACTACTCTTCTTTTCAAGGATTCTGAAATAAATGGCATTATTTTGATCAGATGAAATTATTATTATTATTATTATTATTTAAATTTGTCTTATCGATCAATTGGTTTTTGAAATGAGTACATTGTCTGCCACAGATACACTATCTATTACTCATAAACACTAACTCTCTATCATCCATGTTCCATTAAAGGGTTTAGTGATTAAATGTATGTTTTTTTTTTTCGTAATCAAAAGACAGTTTTTCCATTAGATTCGTTGATGGACATAGAAGAACCATCAGTATTTGTTAATATTGAATTAATTATTTGATATTAAGTAATTGATTACATTGTTGTTCCCGGAGACTAAATAGCATTATTTAGTAGTATATGTTAATATATCTATACACAATCGGTGATTATAAATAAATGATTCTAATGATAAATATCGGTGAACACATCATAACATACATATAAAATGGGAATGGGTCATTGACAGAGAATAGTCTTTAGACCATCACAAACAGATACCGTTTGTTATCGTGTTTTTTTTCAAAAGAGGCAGCATCTCACATCATCAAGAGACATCTTATCAACATAGAATCACTTGGCAAAAACAAAAAGATAAGTCAATGTACATTCTCTTGCGGCTTCTAATGAGTATATGTCATGGTGTTAGTCGAAGGATCGAACAACGGCGGCGGCTCATACTATCATAAAATTTTCGTTCGTGGTGGCGGCGAAGCGGCTAAACTTGCTTTTTTACAGCGGTGACTGCTAAAAATTTCTTGAAATTGTCTATGATTTGATGGCTGTAGCGGCAGCTCAGCTGTATGGCTTACATCTCTAGGCATATGTCTCTTGAGGCTGTTCGAATCGATTTCAATAAAAAAAAATTAAGTATTTATGTTTCTAACTTACAATCAAACTTTATATTCGAATCATTTTGCTGACGTCAATCGTTGTATACTTGTCATTTGTCCATCATCAACATGTATCATAAATTGTTGGGGTGCAAAACTACTTAATCAAAACTAAAACGATGTATACAACAATAATCGGATTCATTAAATCTATTGAATGATAAATATTTGCTTTATCTTTCATTCCATTCATGTCGCGAAGGTCGAGAAGATGTTGAAGATGGAGCACAATTCAACGCATCTGTCATCGAACAACAGCCAAAAAGATAGAACAAATCCATTGCCTTATTAATGATGACCTTCATATTACAATTGATGAATTTCAAACACAAACTAATCTGAATCATAGCACCGTTCAATGAGTAATCTTCGATCATCGTAAACTAAAAATGATTACGGCTAGTTCATTTTCAACATCTTTTTCGAGCTTCACAAAACTATTCCAATGTCATTGTTGAATTACTGTTCTAAGAAATGGATGGCGCAAACAAAAGATATATATAGTATAATGTGAAATTTATTGTAGAAGCGAAAGTTTTCTCCATCTAACAAAATCAGAAGTGAATAGCTTTGATTGAAATTTTTCTATTATCACATCAACTGAAGATCTGTGAAATATTATTGAATTCTATAGTACTGTTTGGACTAACAGTATATACAATAGATATCAAAATTATTCAATTATAGTAGATAATCTTATCTTAGACTCATCTGGTTTCCGTCAGATTACAACCTATACTTTCTAGTCTACTAGTAATAACTTTCAGAACAATCCATTAATCTGTTTAGTTTTTATTAACGATACAATCACAGCATGCCATTTTGTCATTCTTCCAAAAGTATCCAATCACTTTCGCTATAATACACAATTCAATAGAATACTAGCGCTCTACGTGATTTCTATAATGCTTAGCTAATTTTATTGTTCAATATGTCGTTAGCAAGAGCAATACAAATTGTATCAGATATTCTATTTGAACAGATATTTCATGTTGAAAACTTGTTTTAGTCATCACCTATGTATACATTCAATCACGAATAAACGTTCTCGTACTGTCTTATTTACGCCTCGAAGAAGGTAATAGTTGTTTTGAACTGTGTGGAGTTATGGAGATTTTTTTTCCTGTAGGAAACTCTTATATTTGAAATCAAAACAAATATTATCATTTAAGTTATATATCTTTCTTACACTATGAATAGCAAGAGTAAAAAGCTTACAATAGTCCTATAGCAACAACCTAAGTACAATTCTCACTAAATATATAGGAAATTTTTACGCGTCATATCTTTATAGATAGAGGATGAAATTTAGAACAGCGCTGTATGTTAAATTTCATTTGATACATTCTTGTTTGGCGAGATACATATAAACTCTGTTGCTAAGATTGCAATAAGCTATTTTTACTTCTGCTATCTATAGTGTAACCAAGGTAAAGAACTTACGAGATATAATCGACTTTGATTTCAAATATAAGAGTTTCGTACAGAAAAAGATTTTCTACAAATTCATTACCTTCTTCAATACGTGAACAAGACAATACAAGAACGTCTATCTACGTATTTTCGGACTCTCCATTCTTGAGATCATCACAACGGGAAATAATAACTTTTGATGTGTGTGCCTAATAAGTAAAAAAGAAAAAGAAAAAGAAAACTCTCAAGGGACTACATAAATGGTGTGCTTTGCATCGCATTAATAATACAGTACGTATACGGCCACATTATGATGATTCGAAATGACTAACCTGAAATATTAGACAATGTTTAATTTTATTCATAATAGCTCAGCTTTAACAAGATGAATTTAACATATGTCTACCTTTCGAGACACAAGTCAATAGAACACATTTGAAAAGAACAAAGTAGAAATTGATAATAGAAATTTAACAAAACTCACTATAAAAATTCCAGTCGAGATGTCGTTAGTTGAAACGTAAGAAAAATTTATATTTGATTGGTTCTTTTTTACCTGCAATTAAATGATTAATCAATTGATTTTAAAGTAAAAATATATAGTCTCGTGCTTACCTGGTGTTATTTTGTTTGCTTTATAAACGACTAGTTATACAATACCGTTGCTATTACGTTTGACAAATAATCAAAATAGTCGTACAAAAGAAACAGGCGTTTTTTTTTTATTTGCTTCAAACTAAATTTTTACTGATACTGTATATAAATACAGAACATTTTCTTTGTTTTATTTTAGATAAAATAAGAAAAAAATGATTAATGATAATGATGATGATGTACCTTTATTAAATGATAATGATGATAATGAACAATTCATAACAGCAGAAGATAGTCAACCAAATGTTGAAGCAGTTTTTGTCGTTACTTTTGATGTTAAATATGGTAAAATTGATAATAAATTTTTCTTTTATTTATTTATTTTATCGATTTTATAAATATTCTAGGTAATATAATTGAATTTCAAATGCCAGAAAAAGAACATATGTTACTAAGTGGTGTGGAATATAAAGCAATACCAAGTGGATCCCATCATATTAATCAAGATTTTGTGTAAGAGTTAATCTTTCTATTTACAATTAACAGATTCTTTGAAATGAAAATACTTATGGGAGGATGGATACTAGTAAAAACTGCGGACACTCACAGTGACCTTGGTTTCAATTATAAAAAATAACGATCATTACCTTGATTTTTATTTGTAAACAATCAAAGTAATCATGTGTGTCTAAAGTTTCCACAGTTACTCATGGAGAATTTTTAAGAGTTTCAAAATATCATTTCTGTGGGTCCCATTCTATAAGTTTTTTCTTAAAGAGCATATCAGGCTAGTGTGCCTGGTAGAGTTCTTTTTTGTTAAATTCTTTCTTTTTATTCAATGAAAAAGGATGAGCAAGTTCAATACCTTGAAAAACTCTCAAAAAATGATCATCTATTTATAGAAGTGGTTTGTTAATATAATAATAATAAAGCTTAATTCAAAAAAATGGACTCTGACACATTAAAAAAAAAAGCATATTTTTCAATCAGAAGGTGATAGAAATTACCAAAAATTTTGGCAAAAAAACGAGTTGCCAAACAAAAAATCATGTCATTTATGAAAGATCACACGTCAGACTGTTTACCTCAATTTCAATTTTTCTGACGAAAGTTGACTTTTTTTTTTAAAGGAGAGCTTTTAACCGAAAGAGAATCATGAGAGTGAATCAATGATTCACTATGCTATGCAGAATAAAAATTTCAAATTCTAACATATTTTGACAATGTTAATATTTGTTTAGATATTTTCGTCATGAAAATAAATATGGATTGGCTTGTTTAGCTCGAGCAGATATTACAAATGATGATGATGGATCAGCTTTGTCAGTAATCGATCAATCACAGCGTGGTATGCGGATTAAATCTGTTGGTATTTTAACTTCATCTATTATACATATTCAATCATATCTTTCTCTTTTACAAACTGAAGCTAGGTTATTAATCTGTACATTCTCTTAATAAAAAAATGATTATCTAATCAATATTTAGAATTTATCTGAGTCAAGCATCAGCCAATTATGATGGTTTAAAACGACTTCTTATAAGACAGGAACAACCAATATCAGTTCCTGCTTCTATTTATGTAAGAATTTGCTAAAATTAAAGCACTTTATTCTAATGATAAAACATTTATCAAATGTGTTTAGTATGTATATCGCACTAGAAGATAATTGACATAACATATGTTGCAAAAGAGAAAGGTCATATCATTGATAGATATGATATTACTTTTAGTTAAAAGAACAAGTTTGTTTATAAAACAAATACAAGAATAGATTAAATTGATTCTCCAGATATTTATCGCTTAGTAGAAAGTCCTTGGAAGCGAAAAAAAAACCATTTTGAATTCTTTGTATTGATACACTCTTCAAATATTGACAAATTTATCTATTCATTAAAATTGAGTGAACCAACTGTAAAAAAGAAAAAGATGCAAATGTCTTCTGTGCGCTTTCTTCTTCTTCTTCTTCTTCTCAATGAAAAAAAATTATATGAAGTCATGATTTTATCAGTACGACAAAAAAAAGTTTTTTTTTTTCTTTTTATAGGACTCTTTATTCGCTCAATTTATTCAACAATTTGGTGCATCTGTCTTTCCACTTTCAAGGTTAATCCTGCTTGGCAAACGTATTTTATTTTACTCACGTTCACCTATTGGACCTCTTTGTAATGCAGGTAAATACTTTTCTTTTTTCTATTATTAAAAAAAAAGAAAATCTAAACCTCTTATATAGTTTATTTTACTCATATTATTAATCAATCGGTAAATCCACTTTTTTTAATCACTATTGCGGATTTATCAATGCTCAATAATGAACAATCTTATATTGGTTGTACAACAGAAAGAATTTTTAAAGAAAAAACACATATTTATGATGTATTTATTGATTGTGATAATCAAATTGTTTTCCATACAAATGATTCAATTTTACAGTCCATTGTTAAAATAACACGTCACGATTATAATCGCTTAAAAAAGACCTTGACGTAAGTTAAATCGTCTTAAAAATTGAAATAGAATGTATATATATACTTTGTTCGATGACATAATATTAATGTATTATTATTCATATTGGAATTTTCTTTGTTTCTTTTAGTTTGAATTCTTTTATTAATATTGGTAATCATTTATCTCGATTATTGAATCAATTATCTCAATCAAATGATAATAAACAAATGACTAAAGAAAATTTTCATTCTATTGATCTTCATCAACATTATGATCGTTTATTTCTTAATGAATATATTCGAATACATCATATTCCAAATGTGACTATAAGTAATCCAAGCTCAATATTTTTTCCTGTTTCACCTTGTTGTTCTTGTTGTCTGGATTTCAATTGATTTTTAATTTTAGTTTGACAGAACAAAAAAAAGAATTATATTTGATCTCAATTTAATTTTTCTTTTATTTTAATCATAATAATTAGTTGATGAAAAATGATTGCCTCATGTAAGAATTAGATTTTTTGTTTAATGAAAAAATGAAGATTTTCTATGAAAATATTCTATATATCCAGTATATATATATATATATACACATTAGATTTGACAACCTTATTTATTCTATTTCTCATTAACATCCAATGTCGCGTCAACAAAATCATTTGTTCTTTGTGCCTCATTATCGTCCCTATCTTACCATTAGTTGACAATATCTTTCACGCTTCTTTACATTCTGCCTATAGACACAAAGAAATAAGTCAATCTCTTAGAAGCTTACGCATGTCTTGAATACATGAAGGGGCGTGAGACGGCAGACATCCGTATGTAACTAAAGAATAGTAAACGATAACTATTCTTTCTTCTTTTTTTTTGTAGACAATCACTAGTAAATATGTACAAAACGTAGCTATAGTTCTTTTTTCTCTTCTTCTATTGAGTTTCATTGTTTTGTTGAGTACTGTAGACAAAGAACAGAATCTCTTGTATACTGTCATTGCATAAGCATTTTTCTCTGAATACAATAAAAAGAAAGAAAGAGAATAGATCATTTAATGACAATACCTCTAGAACTTTTTTTTTGTCTATAGTTTGCTATGATACTGTTGATTTCTCTCTGATAATTGAGATAGACTGTTTATACATCTCCAAGAACATTCCTGTTTTTATCCTTCACTCGTCTATTTTTATATGTTTGTTGACATTCATTGTTTTACATCTAACAAAAGGAGAAAAAGAGTCCTTCTATAATCATAATAAATACAAGAGCTTTACTCTATAAACCATTTTTCTCGCGACATTTCGATAAAAAAAAAAATGAGAAGTACTTTATTTACTAGACAAGATATCATGACTATAAAAAAAAAATCTCCTACACTTATATATTCACGTGGTCAAATCTGGCGTTTTTTTCTCTCATATATTGTAGATGGTAAAGTAAAAACAAAGGCATAAGTAATAAAAACTTTTGTTCGAATATATCGAACATTATGTTGAATTCGCAAGTAACAGAAATTTATCCTGATAATGTTAATTCAACTTCATCAACATTACAATGTCGTATACAATATCTTGACGATGTCGACCCATTTTCAAGTGTCAATTTACCAGAACCAGCTCGACCTCCGTCCTTTACATTTTTGACATCAACTATTTTAAGCAATCAATTACAGAGTGTACATAAAGTTCTTAACGCACCCCATCAAGTAAATAAATAACTTCATAAGATAATATATTCGAAGAATTTCTTTTTTTTTTTTTTTATTGTTTATAGATTTCTGATTGTACACTTCAATTATGTCGACAAGATGGAACTAAAACTGAATTTGGACCATATCTTGAATTAGATCAAACATTAGATGAACAACGTGAAGATATTGAAAGTTTTACAGAAGGGTCAGTTTATTGTATTATTGATTGAAAAACATAATAATTATAATTAGTATTATTTTTTGTTTAAAGATATAAATGGTCAATTGTTCTTCGTACACAACTTAATGTTCGAGTTCAAGCTTGTATAGGTAAAATAGAAAAAAAAATAATTTTATTATTTTTTTCTTATAAAAAATTTTTATTTCTAGATAAATTACTGAATTCAGATGGACGTGAATTACGAAGATCATTATTTTCATTAAAACAAATTTTTCAAGTATAGAAATAAAAAAAAAAGAAAATTGATCGATTTTTTTATTAATGTTTTTTTTTTCTTTCAAGGATGATAAAGATCTTGTACATGAATTTGTTAATAACCAAGGTTTACAATGTTTAATTAAAATTGGTGGTGCAGCTGATCAAAATTATCAAAATTATATTTTACGAGGTAGAGAAAAAAAGTCTTTTATTTTTTATTAAATTATTAAGAAAAAATTTTTTTTCTTATTAAATAGCACTTGGTCAATTAATGTTATATGTTGATGGAATGAATGCTGTTATAAATCAAAATGAAGTTACTCAATGGCTTTATTCATTAGTAGAATCAAGTGTATGAAAATAAAAATTTCCTTTATTAATAGACGAGCAGGGGGATCGTTAAGTGATAAAATGGGTCCATTCGGAATTGAATTTATTATTTCTTAAATAGTCGACTCGGATATCAGAAGTTAATTGCCATTCAATTTAGATTTCATTCCGGTTGCGTACGGTTGACTGTAAACTCGATAGTATTTGTTCTTCATGGATGCATATTATGCAATTTTTCTATGAACTTTTCCTTGCGTTTTCAGCGCTTGTAATTTAAATCATTAATCGCATGAAAGCTCTTTCTTTCCTCTACTAAATGGCATCTAGTAGTATAGCAAAATATTATTCTTTTCCTTTTACTATTAAGTGACCTTGTTCGCTTATATGTACAAGATGCGGACATATATGGCAAGGTTCCATCATTATTGCGCTTTTCAAGCAGCGATCTACTTTAAATTATATACTATCCGATAGACTTTTCAAAGCTCTACAACATGATATTATTATGTGGGGTTTAATTTGTAGGCAAGACATTTTAGTCAAACAGAAAATGTTCATGACTGCTAAAAGTTATCCTTTTTGACTGATATTTCAAAAATTTTTTTGAAATGTAGAAAGATTCAAAATGACAAATGAATAATGACTGACTTTATTTTTCAACGTGAATCAAGGTTGAATTTTCGAACGGCAACAAAAATTGCCGGAGAATTTTGTCAAATATATAGATTAACTCAGTTTTTTTTTCTGCTATTGCTGACAAATTAGTCTCAACGTCTTAATATTATTTGGTAGAACTGTTTGTGAAATAATAAACTCAATTTCGAGAGAACGCAGAAGGGAAGGTCGATTTCATTGTTTAACAACTACTTTGTTTTCGAACTATTTTTCTTTGTTCTAGTTTCGACTTGTTGTAAAAACAAGTTTAAAACTTTTAATTGTATTTGCTGAATATACTGAATCGAATGTTGCATTAATCATATCAGCTGTAACACAAGTTGATCGATCAGCTAAACGTTTATTATGGTCAAATGCAATGAAAATATTAAATGAAATGGATAATTCATCATCAGAAGTTGTTTTATTAATTATTACATTATTTAATACAGTTTTATCAGCTATATCTGATCAAGATACGTTTTATGATATGACCGATGCATTAGAAGAACAAGGAATGCAACGATGTACACAATTTTTTCTAAATAGAAAACCAGCTGAAGCTGATCTTATTGAACAATTTCATATTTATGATGTATGTTCGAAGTTTTCTAGTTCAATAGTAATGATAACATAGATAGAATCAAGTTATTTTGAATCTATGTAAATTTTTAAAGATTTTTCGAGATTAGTTTATATTGAGCCATACAAAAGTTTTTCTTTTTGTTCTATGTTATATACTGAAGAATATTCAAAGCAGATCGAATTGTATTTTAAAGATTTTTATTAAAAAAATTTAATAGTTGAATATTATTAAATACATTTACAATATTTAACATTCTTTCATAATCATATGAAGAAAAAAAATCTATTTATAAACTTGACCTTCAATTAATTCTTTATGATAATAGATTAAAATTTTTTTTAATTTTAGGCTGCTCTTCGACGTGAAGATGGTGAAGATGATGCAACAATTGTTCAATCAATAAGGTATGTATTTATCTTGATTTTGTTAAGCAAATAGATCTGATTGTAATATAAATGAGAGTAAAAAAAAAAAACCAAGCGTACTTTTAAACATTAGATCTCCATCCTTATCCAATATCTATGAAAATCTTATCTGGAGGTAATTTTTGTTTCATAAGTTGTTTTTTTTTTGTTATTGTTATTCGTTTTACATCACACCTCGAAAGCTACAAGAATGATAAGAGAACCTTTTTTTTCTACACTCCTTGTAATTCAGCATGTTTATCTTTCCTAAACCTAATGTTCGCATGATTATTGCATTGTATATAGGTGTACACCACGTATAAAATCTACATTTGATCGTATATCATCACGTCGTTATTCATCTGTTGATTCAAATTGTTCATATGATAATCAGCAAGAATCTAGAATAATTTCTAATAATAATAATCAAGATATTTGTCAAAATCATTTGAATTTAACCGATTCAACATTGCCACAATATGATAATGTGATCATGTCATCGAATGAACAAGATGATTCAACCGTATCATTCAATGTTGATATAGATGATGATGATAATGATGAGTATGCTTATTTTATTTTACATTGCCGCTTTTCTTTTTTTTTTCTTCTTCTCTTCCTTTTCCTTGTACAATGTCAGCAGGTTTTTGTTTTGCTTGGATGCTTCTTCTTCTTCTTCTTCTTTTCATCATTTATTGATTATTATCTTTCAGGCGAAAAACACGAGTTAAAAGTATGATTGATAATCGTCAAAGTATTCGACGAAGTTCATCGCATACATACCAACCTACGATTTCATCGTTTCAAAAAAAAGAACAAGAAATGTAAATAAATGAAATCTTTTTTTTTTTGTTTATTATTAAAATTCAAATTATTTAAATGAAAATGTAATTTAGATCAAAACCATTACCAGATAGTACGGTTCTTCGTCGAATGCAAAATCGATGGGAAACAGAAATTTTGCATCGTGAAGTACCTCGAACAACACGAATTGAACGTAATCGTGATCGTTGGGAAACAACAAATGATGATCAAATTCCATTATCTGATACAAATCAATCAACAATGCCTCAACAGAGTAAATAATCATTGTTTTAAGGGTACTCTGCCTGCCTTTCGTGACTCAAAATATTTGATTTTTTATGGCCATTCTATAATAAGTGACCAGAATCTTGTACACTTAGAAATTTTCTCTCGGTTTTTCTTCGAGAATAGTGAAATCATTTTTGAAAAGAATGAAAAATTAATTTTGAACGAAATTTATGGGTCGACACGTTTCCGATGAACATTTTTGTTCATTTTAGCCTGCTTAAGAAGGAGCCGAAAACTAAATGCCACAATCAGAATGTGAATATGAGCTTAGAAATTTTTTGTTCAAGAGTAGTAAGGGACGTTTCGAAAAACCTGAAAAATTATTTATAATGATGAGTTAATAGGTTATTATTTACTTTGAAAGTTTCTTTTTCGAATATAGTAAAAATTGTCGGAGTCGATCGTTTTGTAGAGTGAATACTTCTCTACAACATGTGATATTGAACTAAGTTGTAACTTTTACTTAAGCGTTTTTTAAAGAGCTGTTTTGAACGTAAAACGGTTATCGATTTTTTTCAAAAATAGAGGCACTGTGTCGAAAAATAAAAAAAATAGTGCATTTTATAGTGTAGCTTATGATCTACAAACTGATATATAAATAAACATGCCAACTTTTACTTTCGAATTCCAATAGTGAATAAATAAAATTGTACAAAATAATTTTTTGGATTTTTTAAAGATTATATCACTACTTTCGAACAAAAACTGCGATAAAATTTCTAAGTCCATATTCGAAAAGAGCACCAACTCATAGCTTTTGTGTCATCGAAAATACTTTTTAACGGTTCAAAGGTGGACAAACATCTTGTTGAAAAACTTTTCGATCGTCAGCGAGTCTGAAGTAATTAGTATCTATCTACTCAGTACATATTGAGATCTAATAATTGTCTTTAAACTTTAAAAAATTCGAGAAGAAATCAAATTTACTTAACGAAAATAACGAATTGTGTTTTTTTCAAACCAACTTTATCATGAAAAAAAATATGGGAACCCTTTCGTTTTTTCGGTCTAGTGTGTGTGATCGAGCTGAAACTTTTTCTCACATATACTGTTTATTTGAAAAAATGTTGTTTTATTGGTAGCTCTTACAAAAGAAGCTCTATTTAAAAAAACAATGGATTTTTTAGGGTATCTTCGATACTTGTCTTTTTTTATTTGAAGGACAAAAAATAAAAAGTTACCTACTCCAAACAATGTATGTGTAGTGTTTGTAAAAATAATTTTGAACTCAATCGAACATAGTATCTCAAAGAAACGGGAAGGGTGAGAAGACACTGTGATCCCAGTATCTCATAGAAGGCAGCATCTCGGGACTTTTTCTCTACTCATTAAGATCGATCTGTCCTAAAAATTTAAAACTTTTCTGATGAATCGTTCTTCCAGAAGGGAATGGAAGTACCCTTAAAGAGAAATATCGTTTTTCTTTTGTATATTTTATGAATTTTATTTCTTGTAGTAAAACCATTAACATCCGTTGATAGTCATATCGTTCCGTCCAGTTGTTTTACACGTTCGTCATGTAATATTGAGTCTATCTCACCTCCACCTTCTCATGCAAATGAAACACAAGTGTTTACACGAGCTGTATTTACTCATCAAAAAAATTCAAATAGTAATGGTACAGTTGAAACATTAGCACGTCAAATAGGTATATCAACAATGAATGGTAATGATACATCATTAACAAATGGTCAACCAACTGTATTTGTAAAAGATACTAAAGTAATACCATCATCTGAACTTATTGGTGCAGTTACAAGAGCAAAAGATGGTCAGTAGTTATGTTATATAGATTAAAAAATAAATTTTTAAATTGTAGGTTTACAAGCAGCAGTAACAGCTAAAACACCTCAAATTTCAGCAACATGTTTTGTTTTTCCTGGTCCATTACCTGATACATTAGTATCAAAACCTCTATCAGATAATGATCTTCAATGGGACTATGTTGTTAGCAAAGTATCAGATCGTAAATTACGTGTACAAGATCTGGATTTCGAAGAACTGGATGAACAAGATGATATAGCCATTATGACTATCGCTGCTAATCGAGGGGGACCACCTCCACCACCACCAATGATGAATGGAAATGGATTTCCTCCTCCACCAATGACAGGATGTCCTCCTCCTCCTCCTCCTCCTCCACCACCACCACCACCACCACCGCCTCCTCCATCGATAGGATGCCCACCTCCACCTCCACTTCTACCACGAGGCATGGGACCTTCACCGTTAACCATAAGCAATGGTAATATAGGTGGAGACTCATCATCATCAAATAATAAATCAGTAAAAACTATACGTTTACATTGGCGTGACGCAGCTCCAAATACAATGTTAACAGCACCCGGATCAAATGATTCTCTTTGGACATCATTGAATAAAATAAAATTAGATACCGACAAATTAGCACACTTATTCGAATTGAAACAAGCTGAAGTTAAAGTAAAGGTAATCATACTAAACTAAAGATTGTTGTTATTATTGTCTTTTTGCGAATGTAAAGCTGGTAAACTTAAGAAACATTTGAGAAACAAACAAAAAAACTCTATTTAATATTTCGACATATTTAAATATTTCTTTCTTTCTTTCTTATCTTATATAGGAAACAGTAAGTATATAGACACATACTATGTATTTAATTGACAGCTTTGATTATGTTTATTTTTTCTTGATTAATGCTTTCGAAATTGGATAATAATTGTCGAAATGTCATTAATTGATATGTATTTGACATTGTCAAATCAATAAATTTCATTAGGTCACTCTTTCTCTTTTTTATTTCTCTTCATTGTTTGTAAATAACTAACATTGGGGGTAGCTCTCTTACAACAAAATTTGTTGTCTTTTCTGTGTGTGTGCTTTATATATTCGCTTCTTGTTGTGTTTTATTTTCTCCTTTTTGATAAAATTCTTTTGTTTTTTTTTAAAATAATAATATTGATTTAGAAAAATTAATATTTCATTTTATTCTATAGAAAACTGGTGATGTAAAAAAAGAAATAACTGTACTCGATCCAAAACGTTCAAATGCAATTAATATCGGTCTAACAGTTTTACCAACAGCTCGAACAATCAAAGCAGCTATTTTAAAAATGGATAGTAGTGTTATAAATAAAGAAGGCATTGAGGTAATTGAATTTTTTAGTTAAGAAAAAGAAACTTATCCTTCTTATGAAATGAAATTTCTACAGACTAAATTTTTGAATCAATATCTTAAAGAAGAAGTTCATTGAGAATGAAATCATATTTGCTAGATTTCGATCTTTTGTAATGATTCAATAACGAAAAAGTATTATGATTAGAAAATTTTTTAGATATTCACAGCTTAAGTATATCTATACATCATTTTGAATTATTGCTAAATTTCTACTATTATTAAAAGATCCGTACTATACCAATATTCAATATTTTTGGCATTAAAGATCTATCGTACTAGTTTTTTTAATTTCACTATTTAAATTCATTTTTGTTATGATCTATTAAATATCGTAGATAGTGCGTTTTAATAGCTACAAAAGTATGTCTACATGATTGATAAGTTTTAGTTTTAATAATGAGAAACAAAGTACAACACAATAAAGGAGAATAGAACAGCAATTAACATCAAAGTTAAATAATTCTATCGATACGAAAAAAATAATCCTTTTTAGATCCAAGGTTTTTTTCATACTGAGTAAATCAGTAGCTCTGTGATGTCACCAAAATTCAACTCGAAAGTGATTGTTATTGATAGCTTTTCTTACTTTCTTGAGAAGCAGAAGTAATATTACAAAAAAAAGACATAAGTTCCTTTTTGGACTAGAGATATGCAGAGTAGGATAAAGCTAGGGAGCTGCCGGTCCGAGTCCACAAAAACGTAGACTCGCAGCACTCTAGGTAAGGGCTAGAAAATTTCTCTCAGTCAGGATACTAAATATGAAAAAGTCTTATCTTGCACATCTCTCTATTTTGGATCCTTCTGTACAATCGGTATTCATATTTGTTTAAAAGTATTAGATTCAATATGTTTTACTATTTAGAAATTATTAACAATGCTTCCAACAGAAGAAGAAAAAAATCGTATAATAGAAGCTCAAATGGCTAATAGTGATATACCATTAGGCAATGCTGAACATTTTTTATTAACAATTGGAGCTGTTGTTGAATTAGAAGCTCGTTTAAAATTATGGTTATTTAAACTTGATTTTGATAATATTGAATTGGTTAGACGAAAATTTTAATAGAATGATTATAGAAAAAAAAATGGATTTTTTGTTATAGGAAATTGCTGAACCATTAATGGATTTAAAAAATGGAATGAGAAATTTAAAAGAGAATATAACATTTCGACGTATACTTGAAATTCTTCTTGCTGTTGGTAATTTTCTTAATGGAGCTGAAGTAAATAAAATATGTTTACAGTTAAAATTTAATTTACTAAAAATTTTGACGTTTTTAGTCAATCGGTTTTCAACTTGATTATCTTGCTAAAGTTCCAGAAGTTAAAGATACTATTCAAAAACATTCATTATTATTTCATGTGTGCAATATTGTCGTTGAAAAATATCCTGATACAAGTGATTTCTATTCAGAAATTGGTGAAATAACACGATGTTCAAAAGTAATATAACGTCATATTTTTTTCGTATCTTTTTCTTATAATATAAAAAAAAATTATTTTAGATTGATTTTGATGAACTTGAACAAAAATTAAATAAACTTGAAAATGATTGTCGTGCAGCATTTGAATATTTAAGAGCTATTAGTAAACATGAAACATTACAAATAAAAACAAAGTATGTTGTTTAATTATTTATCAATAGAATTAATATCTTACTAATAAATCATATTATACATTTTGAATTTTAAATATAAATTTTATTTGAGAAAGAAGTGATCTTTTCTAAAAAAAAAAAAGACATGATATATACATCAAAGATCATTTTCAGAGTTGATGTTAAGATTCATGGTAAATTGTATTATATCACGTATGTATCTTATTATGCTTTTTATTTTTGTTCTACAAACACCGAAAAAAAAAAGATAAAATGATCAAATTTTGCTTCACAGTTAAAATCTAGCTTCTTGCTTTATTATTTTGTTATTCTTAATTAAACTTAGAAAATTTTTTTTTTGTGAATTTTAGACTGGCAGAATTTCTTACTGATTGTGCTGAACGTGTTTGTTTATTAAGAGTTATATATAATCGTGTATTAAATCGTTTTCGAAGATTTCTTCTTTGGCTTGGTTATCCTCTAAGTGCAATACAAGAAACAAAAATAACACAATTTTGTAAAATTCTTAGTGAATTTGCACTTGAATATCGAACAACACGTGAACGTATAACAACACAAAAACAGAAAAAACAAAATCGTGGTGAACGAAATAAAACAAGAGGCAAATTAATAACTGAGGTTTGAAACTTTATTTTTGTTTCTTTTGTAAAATTTCATATCAATTCTGTTTTTTTTATTATAGATTATTTCAGAAAAAGGCAATCCATTTAAAGATGTTCTATTGAATGGTTTTCGAACGGATGATGAATCTAGTTCTTGTTATCAATCAGTAAAAGAAAAAAATTCTTCATCAACTATTTCACATAATTACGATACAAAATCATCATCATCACCTTCTATCTCAGATAAAAATTCAAAACAACAATTAAATCAAAAAAATGTTCAACCAAATATGTTAAGTGATCTAGCAGCTGTAGTAAGAAGTACATCAAAAGATGGTCAAATTATGCCTGGTCATCGATTACGACAAAAAGCATCTAGTATGTTTAATTTAGTTTTTCTGAGAGGAATCACAACATTCATTTTAACACCTAGTGTAAAAGCGCGGTATCTCTATCGCAATAAGTTAACAACACAAAACACTTTTCAGGATATTCATAGCTCATCTGAGTCTACATAATACACACAGTCTCGATTCGAAAGCGATTTATCAGTTATTTCGAAAGGTTTTTTTTTATTTTGATTTCAATTATCTTAGCAAATAATTTACAAAAATCATCCACATCAAATACATCAACAGTAAATGGAATACAATCGACTAAATCCAATGACACTGAAGGATTTGATACAAGTGATGAATTACTTGATACTCTTGTTAAAAATGCTGCGTTAACAACAACAAAAGATGTTATAAAACAACGTCGTATAGCTCGATATGCCCAACGGCAATCATGTATGTTCTTAAATAGATTTTTTTTTTCTTAATTATATTTTATTTTAGTACGACGAACACTTCAAATAAATTTGAATGACGACGAGCAAGCTCAAGTATTTGGTGCTGGGAAAAACTAATCTATTTTATTATATTATTCATGTCATCTATGGACAACCTATCCTGCACCGGTGTTTTTTCAAGTTTTTTTTTTTTTATGTATACATCCATCCACTTGTGTGTGTGTGTGTTTAATTTTAATAATATTCTGTTTTCTTTTTTGTTTGTGCCTGTCTTTCATATATCTAAGAAAATGAGAAGAATGATTTGTCCAACATCCTTTAATTGTACAAAATCGATCAGTTTCTGACAAAATAATCGTCACAATTATTCTGTTTTTATATGTTGTATTTAAAACAAAAAAAAATATTTAAATTAAACACGAAAAGCTTAAATGTGATTTTGTAGATATGTTTGAAATGCAGGATTTATTGATATTATTGGATGAATATTAAAAAAGAATGGCAAATCATAGATGATATACAGAAAAAAAATGAATATTTGATAATCAATTAATTCAAAAATTTTTTTTTTGGTTCGTAATCGAAATGAATTTAATAATACATTTGTTGAAGTGAATAGAATATGTATACGAACTCGAATGTTCTATATTTTATTGTATTTTATTTCTTTTTTGTTATTATTGTTTATTTTTTTTTTGTTTGATTCATTTTCTTTCAACTAAACTAAATTATTTTCTTTATGTATGTTTTGTTCTTCAGGTAAGGTATAACAATGAATATTATCAAAAGTACAAAAGTATTATTTCTATACAAGGTAGAGTCCTATTTTGCTTTTGATCAAGGCTTTGCATGCAATAAGTTTTTAATTATTATTGTTAGTTTATGCAACGTTATGCATCATCACAAGCTTTAGCCACTGATTTAAAAAGTATTGTGGGAAATGATAATGTTGCAACTAGCACAGCTGTTCGAGAGCAACATAGCCATGATGAATCATATCATCCGTATGTCATATTATTTCTACGATATTTGTTATTTCACTATTACATTTATAGAGGTCATAAGCCTGATGTTGTTGTTTTTGCACAAAGTACAGATCATGTTTCAAAAATTGTTAAATATTGTGCATCTAAACGTGTTCCTGTTATACCATTTGGTACTGGCACTGGAGTAGAAGGTAAAAGAAGATTCAATTCTAGTTTATCTTGACTTGTACCTTTTCGTATGTAGGTGGCGTCACTGCTCCTCAAGTGCGTAAACAACAAACATATTCTTTTAGAACAGAAAAGAAAATTGTATCGATTTCTTAGGGTGGTGTATGTCTTGATTTAAGTCGTATGGATAAAGTATTGTCAATAAATGCTGAAGATTTTGATTGTACAGTTCAAGCTGGTGTCACTCGAAATGCATTGAATACATATATTCGTGATACTGGTCTTCAATTTCCAATAGATCCTGGTGCAAATGCATCTCTTGGTGGTATGTGTGCAACAAGTGCATCAGGAACAATGGCTGTTCGATATGTGAATAGAATAAAATATTTGAAAGATTGATTCTTTTTCTTTTTTCGATATATTAGGGTACAATGCGTGAAAATGTTATGAATTTAGAAGTTGTTTTAGCTGATGGTAGTATTATCAAAACAGCAGGACTCAAAGGACGAAGTCGAAAAACATCATCAGGTTATAATTTAACTAATTTATTTGTTGGTCAAGAAGGTACATTGGGTATTATTACTGAAGCAACACTTAAATTACATGCAATACCTGAAGCAGTATATTTTCAATTTTTAAATAATCTAAAACAAATATTTTCTATTTGATAATCCTAGGTTCTTGCTGCTGTTGCTCCATTCAAAGATTTACAAGGTGCAGTAAATGCCACAGTTGCTATTATGCAAAGTGGTTTACCTGTTGCACGAATAGAATTTCTTGATGAGAACATGGTTGATGCTTGTAATCGTTTTTCAAAACTGAATCTTGATATAGCACCAACATTATTTCTTGAATTTCATGGTAGTAATAGTAATATTGAAGCTCAAGGACAAATAGCAGGTAAGAAAAGAAACATTTTAATTTGGCAAGATTTTTAATAGATTGTATTTCGAGTTTGTAGAAGAAACATGCAAATCATATGAATGTCTTCAATTTGCTTTTGCTACAGATGTTGATAAACGTGCCGAATTATGGAAGGCAAGACATAATGCATGGTATGCTGCTCAAGCTTTGAAACCAGGTTCAAAGGTATGTATATGTGAAAATAATTATATTTAAGTCTTATTTATCTATAACTTATGATCAATGGCAGATTGGTCTGCTTTTTGTTCATTTTATGCAAACATGATCATGGTTTTCTCATATTTAATGTATATCGAAAGAAAGAAAGGTGCGACACAACTCATAGGATACACTGCCAGGCAGCATGATACAGATATTTATAATTTGTTTGCTGATAAAAGTGAGTGGTACATGCAAAAAAATATAATGTCTTGTTCTTTTTTTTCTTTATGATAAATATCTCTTTGTGTTATTTCAAACTAGTTTTTACTATTTGTTTTTTGTATGTATGCAATGTTATAAGCCGTTAACTAAGTTTATTTTTCAGAAGAAAGTCTGTTTTCGTATGTCTAGAGTGTAATGAATGTGTAGAAGATTTTTCTTCAAACATAGTGTGGGAATCTGTCACTGCATTAACATATTTTTATATTGAAATGAGAATTATTTTTTTTAAATAACATTGATTGTGATAATGAATGCAAATTAATATAAGTTTTAGTTCTTTTCTATTGATAGGGCTACAGTACCGATGTTTGCGTTCCAATTAGCGCTTTGTCCGGAATAGTCACATTTGCAAAAGATGAATTAAAACGATTGAATTTATTAGGGTATTATAAATGATATGTCATGTTTTTTTTGTGTCTCATGAAAATTTTAAGTTTTTTTTAAATAGGCCCATTGTTGGTCATGTTGGTGATGGAAATTTTCATGTATTTGTTATTGTCGATCCAACAAATCCGAAAGAAATTGAACTAGTTCATCAATATAGTATGGCCTTAGCCAAGTATGTTTGCGTATAACATTACTATCCTTTTGATTATCATTTTTTTTTTATTTCTAGAGAAGCATTACGTGTAAGTGGTACAGTAACCGGTGAACATGGTATAGGAGTTGGAAAGAAAAAATTATTAATTGACGAATTCGGAGCAGCAGGAATAAATACAATGAAAGCAATTAAACAAGCACTTGATCCAATGAATATTCTTAATCCTGGCAAAGTTTTATAATTTTTTTAATGAAAATTATAGACAGCAAAAAAGAACAAAATATCTTGTCATCATTTACATGGTACTTTTCTTTTTTAGTGGAAAATAAAATGCTCATATGCTTAAACTAAGTATGTCAATTCTCGATTTCGTACCTAAGTACGCAAACCATATCCTAAGTTCTTGTTTCTAGGCGTGGAACTAGAGACTGAAGCCTCTAGTTTTGTACCCGAAATTTGTAGTTTTCAAATATTCGAAAAGCTGGACTCGAATTTTGAGATCAAGATCTAGCACATCTGAAAGAACATAGTCAAAAACCTATTATACCCTGTTTTGCTTTAATAAAAACGTCAGTGCCTTAGACATCTTGTTTAAAACATCACTAGCATTACACTATAAAGTTTCACTCTATCACCATTTTGTTCTAGTGCGTCCTGTTGATCCAAGAGTTATGAATAATAGGTTTTCGATTATGCTCTTTCAAATGCATTAGATCTCGACCTCAAAACTTGAGTTCAGATTTTTCGGATCTCTGAAAAACCAGGAATTTTGGATCCAAAATTAGGAGTGTCAGTTTCCAGGAACTCATAGCAGTCTGCTATAGAAAAAGATTCGTGCGAATATTTAGATAGTTCCAAGCATTCGAAAATTCATTTAAAGTATTGTAAAATGTGTTCGCGTTCCTTGAAGAACAGAACTTCAAGGAACACAAACACTGACACCCGTAGTTACTTCGATCTCAACTATATCGAGTTGAATAAAAAATGAATTAAGATAAAATTTCAATGAAGGATTATCTTTTTGAAGTTTTTCTTTGTAATATCAATATTAAGATTTGTTGATGATTGTGTTGTTTGATGTTGAATGATTTTCAATAATGCATCTAGAATTGTTGTGAAATAAGATGTGATTGATTTGATGATACTTTATGGTAATAAGTGACCTTCATGTAAATCAAGTAAAAATCGAATATAATGTTTTTCAATCGAATTCATTGCAAATTCCTTTATATTATCTGCTTCATTGATTGACTCTGCGGAAAGTAGCTAATCTACATCATTTTCACTCGATCTAATATCTTCAAAAGTTTTCGATTCATTTTCATCTGATTTTTTTTTGTACAGCAATAAGTTTATCTTCCTCATCTTGGATAATATTTGCATTCGATAATAATAGTGAAGGCATTTTTTCATTGCAGAATAAATTGGTAGACCATAATCATTCAATAAATCCCAATAACATCAATTCAAATGACTATGGTAACTCTCAGAAATGGTATAAGCAGAGTTACAAGTAGAATTTAGTGTACAACAAATATTGAAAGGTGTATCATTTCGATGGATCGAACAACTATGTTTATAAAGATTTACAAATACGGTATAAAGGGTTGATGATTTTGAGAAAGACAAAGAAAATAAAGCAAACACATTTTTACTTACCTTTGAATTTTCTGAGAATATTCGAATTTGACATAAATGTTGAGTAATACTTTTGCACAATACATCTGAAAACCTCAGATTTTAATGCTGTTAGTCAAGTTCTATAAAAAAAAACCGTTATTTTCGAAGAACCGATCTTTCCTAATCGAAAGACTTGCAATAGAATAATAAACAGAAAAAATTTAAATTAATATTAATCTTTAAGTGACCCGTTAGGCATTATTATTAACGAATTTAGTGGCATCTATCGTCTGTTTTTTACTATTATTATTGGATAAATAAAGCTATTATAGATTTATGCTAATTAAATCGCATCCAAAGAACGATTTACCTTAATTCAAATGACATGAGCTACAACTATCTTTGTAAAAGAAGTTTAGCATAAAAAGAAGCGTGCGCGATAAAACTCTTCTAAA